GCTCTACTGAATTGTTCATAGCACTTTTTGATTTTGTCGCAATCACCTCATTGAAAAGTCCCTTCGCAAGCAGTAGACAAGCACATTTTTTATGGTATGAGAAAGTACAGCAGTCACATATACTTGTCACAATACATGGTTTTGATGCTGCTCTTCCAAATAAGCTTTCAACCTCTATTATAGTTTTTTGAGGCTTTGCAGAAATGCTATACTTATTACTTAGAATCAATTTTTTGGCATGGGCCTGCAGGTATAAAATGTGCTATATAAATAAACTTGCCTTGCCTAAAATAAAAATACCCGCTGAAAACATTACTAGAACACTGCCTGATAATGTTATCAAAACATTTTTAGAAAAAAAAATTTCTAGCTGGGATGTTTAACTAAAATCTTTTAATTGTCATGACCATCATGACTAATGCTTTGGAAACATGGAGCTGCTCCACAGTAAGAAAAACTAAGTTAATTTGAATATAATTTATCCAGCTGAACTGAATCTTTATCTTTTTAAAACGTTATATTTACATTTATTTTTAAGTATTTGTAATTGTTAAAGGGGTCATATGATGCTATTTTAAAGATCATTATTTTGTGTATTTGGTGTAACAGAACAATAGCAAATACTTAAACTAATAACAAATCATAATTACAGTCGCTCATTCAGAAGCGCCAGATTGTCATAGCAAAGTCGGAAATTGACCCTTTTTTTTTTTTCAGCGTCTCCCTGACATGGCTGCATGTTGACTGCTGTTCCTGAAACCACGCCTTCTTTCTTTGCGTGCACATTTGGGCGGCATTATGCTAATATTTCCACATAAGTGTCGTAGATATGTGGGGGCGTGTTAGAATGAGATGTTTTAGGTAGGTGTGGTTGACTCTTAACTTTTATAAAGAATATCTCTTTGGGTTTGAGACTTTAGTCTTTGCAACTTTACAGATCTTCTGTATGCACCAAGAGCTTGTAACACTCCAAAGAGAAAGGAAAAGTTGAAATCGCATCATATGACCCCTTTAAATCAGCGTTTTTATATTCTCATGTCATTTTTTTAAAGTGTTTTTAACTTCTTTTTGTCTGTGCTTTTTTTAGCTGTAATTTTCACTGACTTAAAAGGTTTGAACGAAGCCCATGTTGGGCTTGATGCTTCTCACTAACAAAATCACCTGTGAATGGATGCCTTTGTTGTTTCCAACAGAGAGGGGGGGATGCAGGTTCATTTAAAGTACTTTACTGGCTGGTGTTAAACTGCTGGTAAAGATGTTTGGTCTACACACGCGTCGGTTCACTCTTGAGTTTGCTATTGTGAATACCTCCTCATACTGTTTGTCTGAGGCAATGGATTACAAGTAATAATGTTGTAAATAACATTCAGTTTTGCTTCATAAGACCTTAAAATATTGTAAGAAGTAGGGATGTAACGATTAACCGGGAGCCGGTTGAAAATCGATTCAAATGAAGAGATTTATTTTATTTGTTATTTATTTGATTTGGGGCTTGTTTCAAAATTTCATTTTAGTTTTGTTATTTACATTTACATTATATTTAAATTTTGTCATTTATCGGACACTTTTATCCAAAGCGACTTACAAATGAGGACAATAGAAGCAATCAAAACCAACAAAAGAGCAATAATATGGAAGTGCTATATTAGTATATTATTATAGTGTTATTTCAATTTCACAAAGAAACGTGCAGCATTTTGTCCAAGCAATAATAAAAGGACACATTTAATTTATAATTTGTCTTAAATCTCATTTTGTTAAAAAAAAAAATCGTGAATCGAATTGTGAAATCAAAATCGTGAATCGAATCGTGAGTTGAGCAAATCGTTTCATCCCTAGTAAGAAGCAATCAGTATTAATTTTGTGCTCCATTTTAGTTTTTTTGACTCGGCACCCATTGATTTGGGTAAGTAAATTAACAGCAAATTTTTTTTTTGGGGCAAGTTATTCTTTTAAGCAACTGAATGCCATTGGCCAGGGCCTACGGAGCAATGATGTAGATATATTTGTTGATGTCTTACTCTGGAGAAGGGCTCTCTGGCCCTGTGCCTGGAGAGCTGCCGTCCTGCAGACTTCGGTTCCAATCCTGCTCCAACACACCTGTCTGTATTTATCAAGTAAGCCTGAACACCTTGATTAGCTGGTTCAGGTGTGTTTGATTGGGGTTGGAGCTACAATCTGCAGGACAGTAGCTCTCCAGGTAAAGCCCTAAACATACTGCATGATTTTCGTCTGTCCCAGACGAAAGATTGGCATCGTGAATCGTGTGGTGATTTCTGTGATCGTGGCTTCTAATCGGTGATCCTGTCATATAGCGAGAAAGGTTCAAAGACGGCCGTTGTCATGATCTTGCGACCAAAAATAGCCTACGATACAGCATGATCATCGCACAGTGTGTTTGCTGGTACGATCCACGTTTACTGACTAACCAATAAAAATGCGACATGAAATCAATGCGACATGGCATTAAAATAGAAAACTGTTTACCTCAAGTTCTGATCCTTTCCAATTTCACTGCTTCCACTTTTTTTCAGCACACATAAAAATACAACTGCTAAAGTGTGATTTATCATGCTTTTTTTTGTTTACCACAAGCTCATGCTGATGACGTTTTTTTCTTCTGTAGTAACGTGCGTCGTAGTGTACGAGTCAATAGGTGTCATCATCGTACAGTCTACACACGATGTAGTCAAGTTTATTAGATTCACAACAGCGTGGCATGTATTGATCTTATAGGATTGCTAAAATCGTGCAGTGTGTTTTGGGCTTAAGAAAAAGTTAGGGAAAAATCCAATCAGCACAATTGAGGGTATTTTCATTGATGTCTCTTTCCCGCCGGAACACACCCCCTCAGCCAGACTGAGTGGCAATAGAGCCTACAGTACTGCATGACTGAATTTAATAGGGAAGCTGTGAAAACGCAAGTAAAAAACAAAGATAATCAGTTTAAACTAAAGATTGTTGGACTTGATATAGTGTTCCTTACAACTTATCAAAGATCCAGTGGTTCATGGATATTGATGTGCAGCCATGAATCGTGATTCCTGACATTTATATGTGCCTGATTTCAACGCCGGGGACTACAAATTAGGTTGGTCTAAATCCGGGTGATCACTTATACCAATGTTATATATATCGTCCAACCCAAAAACCTGCATAGTTTTTGTCAGTGTTTATTTAAAAACATCCAGTTATGCAGAATATAAGATGGTAAATACTTAATTGATGAGTAGTCAACATGATATATAACAATACAATATATAGGGTATGATTTATCCGCAAAATTCAACATTAACATAAAGTGATAACTGCAAATCCGTGTTTCGCTGCCTAGAGTCCATTTGTTTCTTTGGATTGCAGGGATCTATTTGCTTCTCTTTTCTGTAGCTTTCGGCAGTCTCTAAAATATACCTCAGATTTCTTGTCAAATCTATTTGTTGTTTTAGATGTGTTTTGTGTGTTCTGTCACAGCTTTCTTGCTGAAAAAAACAATGCTGTTATTCAGTCTTCTTGCCCCTCAGTGGGTGGAACTGCAGTCACTCCAGCTGACGGTGACGTCACGTGCATACCCTCTATACTCATGAGCCCAACAGCTTATTAGCCAGGTATTCATACAACAGCAAGCAATAGCTGAGACAAAAGGGAGGGGATGTGGATATTGTGTGAAGCACAAGAAATAGGAGTGTGCCCCATGCTCATGGGTGATGAATTGCATACTACCACATGAAAAAGAGAAGCATTCTTAACAACTACGTCTGTAAATCTATGAAGCAGATTCTATAAATCTACCACATTATACTTTGGTTTTTAAGTGTACACTAGGGTTTACAGACAGTGCGTGACATAAATGTCATCAGCAGCATAGTATGTACCTACACGCAAAGCCATATTTTTCTAACAGCGTACACTGTGCACTCAGCTCATGCGCAGGTTTTTTTTTTTTTTTTGGCACTTGGACACTAGTTTGTTCACAAAGTGGCCCAAGCAATTGTTTCACGTTTGAAAAAGAAAACAAGCTGACAGAACAACAAAAAGTACTGGAGACACAAAAGATGCCTACATCGACAAGTTTTTGTTCAAAGACACACATAATTCTAAGTTATACAAGTAAATATTTAACAAGACATTTTTATTACTCATAACTTCTGGAGAGAAACAGTGCAGACACTGGACAGAGATTACATTTTCTAGTGCACCTGTGTTCGCACATGCTATCAAATGGAGTATACTATGCATTTCCATCAAAGCTGATGTATACTTTAACCTTTTATGCATTTTTTTTTTGTAATGCTGTGTTAACAGTGTCCATTGTACAAGCTAAAAACACAGAAGTTCAGAAGTGGTACTGCTTTTACACAACTTTGCTTCCAGATGTCACCAGATGATGCCCATCATCCATGTTAAAGTCCAGATAACATATCTTTAACTGTGCATTTTTCAGCTTATGTCCTTTTATTTATAGTCTTTCTTATACTGTATATTGTAGCAATTCACAGCAAGACAGAAGTTGAACTAATATTACGATTCCAAGATATTAACATATGGAATGGAGCGACGCCTCTATAGAATCAAAATTAGAGGGTGTCTAGCTCAACCACTCAATATTTTATATAGCAAAGGAGATGGTGAGGTCAGGGGCGTGTCTACGTGGTGGCCAGGGGTGGCACTGCCCCCCCCTGAAATTTGGCTGGCCACCCCAGGTGCCCCCCCTACCAGATGTCTTGCCATAGGCTTGTTTTTAGTACATTTCTAATTTTAGGCGGTTTCTATAGTGTGATCTTAATGACAATGTCGAGAGCGCATAATGTTACGCGATCCATGTGCGCGAGGACGAATCTCTCCACTCCCAAGCGGATTTCCTTCACTCACACAAAACTGGACGTGTGCTTTTAACATACATCGTTCCGCAAACACAACCCCCCCCCGGCCACCCTCTTTTGAACCAGTGCCCCCGACTGGCCCCCCATTTAAAATGCTCTAGACACGCCCCTGGGTGAGGTGTGGCCACAAAAGTTCATATGTACATGGCAAAAGGAAATAAGAAGCCTCAAGACAAAGTATACGGAGGCAAATGGTCACGAAGCTGGACAATCAGATTTGGCCCGCATTCAGCTGAGGTGAAATTTTCAATTTCACACAGATACGTATTTTCTGGTGCCATTTTAAATCGCTGAGCCATTTAAACCTCTTACCACACACAGAACACAAATAGCGTCTCACATCTGCATGACTCTTCAAGTGTATCTGTAAGTGTGAAGGCAAAAGAAATGTTTTATTACACTGATGACAATGAAACCGCCTCCCTCCGGAGTGAATGTGCAGGTGATTTTTGAAATTGCTACTTTTCTGAAATCCCTTTCCACACTCGGAACACTGTAATTTCTTGTCAGAATGAGTTTGCAAATGACGTTTCAGGTCTCTTTGATATGTGAAACTCTTTTCACACTGAAGACATGTGAAAGGCTTCTCTCCTGTGTGAACTCTTATGTGAGTCTTAAGATTCCCTCTAAGTGTAAAACTCTTCCCACACTGAGGGCAGGTGAAAGGCCTCTCTCCAGTGTGAACTCTTATGTGAACCTCAAGATTCGCTTTGTTTGTGCAAGTCTTTCCACAGTGATGGCACAGGAAAGGCTTCTCTCCGGTGTGAGTTATTACATGATTCTTAAGGTGATTCCTGACTGTAAAACTCATTCCACACTGATAACATTTAAAACTGTTCTCTCTTGAGTGAATCCTCAAGTGGTAATTAAGGTTTCCTTTGCGTGTGAAACTCTTTCCACACTGACCACATATGAACGGCCTCTCTCCAGTGTGACTTCTCATGTGGGCATTAAGCGTTGCTGTATATGTGAAATTCTTTCCGCACTGATGGCAGGTGTAAGGCTTTTCTCCAGTGTGAAGTCTCATGTGAGTCTTAAGGCTTACTTTATAACTGAAACTCTTCCCACAGTGATGGCATTTGAACGTTTTTTCTCTGGTGTGAATTCTCATGTGAGTTTTAAGGTTTTTATTGAATTGGAATCCCTTTCCACACTGCTGGCATTTAAAAGGCTTCTCTCCGGAGTGAATTATTACATGTCTGTTTAGGTGTTTCATGTCTGGGAAACTCTTTCCACATTCATGACATATAAAACAGTCCTCTCTTGAGTGAATCCTCATGTGGCAATTAAGGGTTCCTTTACGTGTGAAACATCTTCCACACTGAACACACATGAACGGCTTCTCTCCAGTGTGAACTCTCATGTGAGTCTTAAGATTTCCTTTTAGCGAGAAGCTCTTCCCACACACTTTGCAGTTGTAAGGACTCTCTCCAGTGTGACTTCTCATGTGAGAATCAAGGGATGCTTTGAATGTGAAACTCATTCCGCACTGAGGGCATGTGTAAGGCTTCTCTCCAGTGTGAAGCCTCATGTGAGTCTTGAGGCTTACTTTATGACTGAAATTCTTTCCACAGTGATGACAAATTAAACCATTTTCTCCCGAGTGACTTCTCGCGTGGTAATTGAGGGTTACTTTACGGGTGAAACTCTTTCCACACTGATCACAAGTGAACGGCTTCACGCCATTGTGAATGTTCATGTGATACTTAAGGTTTGGTTCTGCTGTGAAGGTCTTTCCACACAGTTTGCAGGTGTAAGGCTTCTCTCCTGTGTGAATTCTCAAGTGACTTTTAAGGTTTCCTTTTTGAGTGAAACACTTTCCACACTGTTGGCAGCTGAAAGGTTTCTCTCCGGTGTGAACTCTCATGTGGACTTCAAGGTTTTGTTTTTGATTGAAACTCTTTCCACACTGACAGCAGGTAAAAGAACTGTTAGATTCTGTCTTTTGAGCTCTTTTTCGTGAGGACGTCTTTCCAGTCTGATGGGATTTTTCTCCAATTATGAAATCATGAAGCTTCTCACACTTATCTTTCTCTTCCATTTCATTCAGTTCGTGACTTTCTTCTTTCAGTATGATCAGATCTAAAATGGAAAAGCAAAACAAATAAAAAAATACTATGTATGTTAACACCATTTTAATGTCACAAAATAGACATCAAAGCCAACATAACCAGCATTAAAGCATCAAAACAAACATATAGCATCAAAACTTACTGAAAGAGGTGTTTCCTGTAATCTCAGAACTTTCAAGAGGATGTCTCTTCTCACTCAAGCATTCATGCAATGTGCTTCACATCATTTCACTTCACAATGTGTTACCTTTACGTCAAGTGTGAATGTATGACAGTTGGCCAGAAGCAATGTTTTATAGTTCTGAAAGTTTAAAATATTATTATTTTTCTCCAAAACCTATCGATCCACTTCAGAAGACACTGATTCATCCACTAGGGTTGTATGGGTTGCCATCGTGGTTGTGGGCTTTTTGAACCATCAACTTTTTGGGTTGCATTATATAGACTCACAGAGTTGGATTGTTTTTCTAAAAATCTTTGTATGTGTTCATCTAAAGAAAGTAAGTCAGGTACATATGGGATGGCAGGTTGAGTAAAAAAATAAAGCGACTTTTAATTTTTGGATGTAGCTTCCCTTTAAAATACAATTGATGTCAATACATAAAAATAAGTAATCACGATTAATCTCACAAATTCGCAATATGTAAATCTTCATTTACAACTTGTTCTGTTATTTTAATAATGACCACTTCAATTTTAATGTTATCAGTAATATTTGTTTTTGGTACAAATCTTTGGTTTTCTGTTGTTTCTGCAAAGGATGTGTCATTTTTAACTCAAAAGGTCGAGATGCTAGTGGATTTTCACTCACTGGGGTTGGGACCCACAGAAAGGCTGTTCTATAATATATAATATTTTGATAACATGGTATTAGTAGGAATAAAATTATGCTGTAGTTTTTCCTAATCTACTTCTTTTCTCCTCTCCTGTTAGAAATGTCCTTTTCCAAAAAAAAAAAAAAAAAGTTCAACAGCAGTGCAGGGTATGTGCATTTAGAAACTTAGTGGCTAATTTTTAAATGAAGCTACAAAATAAAAGCTGAAATCAGGCTTGCAAAAACAAGACAGAATACCAAAGCACTTGCCAACAGTGAATTGAGAAAATGTACCATCAAAAATATTTTTACCAGCCATTAAACTTTTGTCACCCCAGCACTGCTTTTTATTAGATAGACTGTTGCATAATTAAAGGGTTCACCCAAAAATGAAAATTAGCCCATTAATTACTCACCCTCAAGGCATCCTAGGTGTATATGACTTTGTTCTTTCAGACGAATCCAATCGGAGTTATATTAAAAATTGTCTTTGATCTTCCAAGCTGTTTAATGGCAGTCAGCGGGTGTTGCATGCATCAATCCAAAAGAAGTGAAAAGGCATATCCATCCATAATAAAAAAGTGCCTCACACGGCTCCGGGGGGTGAACAAAGGCCTCTTGTATCGAATCGATGCGTTTTTGTAAGAAGAATAACCATATTTAAAATGTAATAATTTAATCTAGCTTGCGCTCACTGTTGTACACTGAAGCAGCTCCAGGCGGATGACGTATGAGGTCGGCGTTGCGTATGCGCCACTCAGAAGTGACGAACGCGGAAGCGCAGGGGAGAGATCAAAACAAAA